AATAAATATAAAAGTTCTTATTAAGTTTATTTTATGATTTCTTTTTTTATGCATCTATAACATCTTTTTTGTTAATATTTTAGATGGAAAAGTTAGGTTAATAAAAATAGTCTTTTTTGTTTTTTCTTAAGTTATCATATTTGTAAATAACACAAATATCAAATGTAATTTTCATTCAAACTTCATTAGTGGTTTTTATAACGTTAATTACTTCTTTTACCTTACCACTTCTTTAAATATTATAAATGATAAAAGTGGCTCAGTTAAAACGGCTTACTGCTTATGTAAAATGGCTTTGGGCATATGTAAATGGTGCGCCAATTTATGTCTTAAAAACAAGGCCTGCATTTTAGAAAAATCCCACATGGTTTTTATGGAGCCACTACACTACTCATTAATGAAAATTTTCATTTAGTAGAAAAATAATTTTAACAACAGGCAAACATTTATGGCGTGAAAAAGATGAAATGAGTAAACGGATAAATTGTGTCAATCATTCACAAACAATTTGGTGACACATTGTGTCTACAATAATCACTGTTTTCTGCATATCTTTAAAGGTATCCCAAATTCCCAACACATGTTGTGTTCATATTAAAGATAATGAAAAAAAAGATTTCAACCAAATTTTTTTGATTAAAAATAAATAATGAATGCATCCCGAGAAAAACTAATGTTGTTGTATTAGCCGAAGCTCGCCTTCTCCTTTTTTTTCAATAACTCGGAGTCTTCAAATTATATGTCGCAATCTATAGACTTTGGCAATTCCTTTGAAGCGCGTTTAATTCATAAAAGTTTTAGTATTTGACGTCACGGTAGACTTTTAACAAATCAAAAGTATAATTAAACAAAGCTGCATTTTTCTACTTTAATTAAAAAAGTAGGATGTAGTATTTTTTTAACATACAGCAAAACAAATTTATTTGTATTATATTTCCAAACATTGCAAAATAATTTTTTGTAAAATTTGCTGAATTGGATACGGATAAAAAGGAAATATCATTTTATTTTACATTTAATTTTTGGTATTGAAATTTTTAAAATGTCAGCAACAGTTTATTCTTATTTTTTTTTAATGAAAAAAAAGTACAAGAATACACTAAACAATACAGTTGACAGTGGTATCAGATATGAAAAATTGTAAAAGGATATGAGACCCTGGTTTTGCATTAAAAGTACAATTAATAGCAACTCAAGTCGGCATTATAAATTGTGATTATAAGTTATCTGTTCAATATTTTAAAAAAAATATATACATATATTCTATACAACTCTTATTCATTCAAAGTTTAATTACGCAAAAATCTCTTTTGTTCTACTCTTTCATAAAAAGAGCGCGCGATGAAATAAAACCTTTTTTTTTTAACATTAAAATTATACTTCAAGATAAAATTAAATTAGAAATAAATTAACAATGAGCAAAGCAACTAACAGATTAATCTGGGACTATTTAGATATTAATGAAAATAATCAACATAAACAACATTACTAACAACAATTATCAAATAAACAACAATATTGCATAATTTTCGGGTATTTTATTTTTATTGCTTAGGGGTTCTAAATAATAAGAAAATTTACTCAAGTTAATATTTCAATATTTACAGTTGCAATATAATAAAAAAATGATGTTTAATGTTGAACTTTTTATTTAGTTATTTATTTTTTACCTAGATTTGTAATAAAAAACTTTAAAATAATTTAGAACTTTAGAATAACTTTAGAATTCATTAAAATAACTTGTTTTAAATGTATTTCGACGTGATTATTCAAACTAATTATTTTCGTTTGACTTTCCGAACTTCATGCAAAGCAAATATCGTTAAACGAAATATCGTTTAACCAAATAAAAATGCTGTTACTAATTTTATACAGGTAATTAGTGTAAAACAATTTTTTATCAGAGCCTTGAATGAGATAATAAATATTCATGATTTATTAACATTAAATATATGGTGCAATAACAATTTATAGCAACGAACCAGCTTAAAATATTTGAGGTTTTTAATATCTTTTTAAATGTTAAAAATAGAAAAAAAAAACTAAACAAATAATCAAAAAAATTTCGAATAAAAATAAATAAAAATATTTCTAGAGTTTAATTTGTTAAGTCAAATACTAAAGTTTTTATGAATTAAAAGCACTTCAAAGGAATCACCCAAGTCTGTAGATTGTGACGTATAATTTGAAGACTCCGATTTATTGAAAAAAATGGAGAAGGCGAGCTTTGGCTAAAATAACAGCATTAGTTTTTCTTGGTATGCATTCATTATTAATTTTTAATCAAAAAAACCTGGTTCAAACCTTTTTTTTAACATTATCTTTAATATGAACACAACATGTGTTGGGAGATTTTGGATCCCTTTAATGAAGTTAAATATTTTAAAGGTAATATGGACTAGATTTTATTACATTCTTAATAATCATCCAAATGGTGAATTTACCATATATACATTTTTAAAACTACTGCAATAAAATAAATTACCACAAAACAAGTGCTTTTAGTTAAAATTTAGCAAGATTATTGACAAAAACTACATTTTAAAAAGTTTTTATTTTATGTCAAAAAAAATTTAGAATTAAATTTTTTTAGTATGTAAAAAAAAACTCATGACCAATTACTTTGTGATGTCTAAAAAAAAAAAATATTAAAAATTCACAATTGTCATTTGAAAAGACTACATATTATATAGAGCTACAATTAAGTAAATATATAGAGATGTTGCAAAATCTTTTAGTTTTGTCTTATTTTTTACATCTACACCAGTGTAATAGATAAAGTTGGGGTGTGAGTTCTAAGGTCTAAAAGTACATTTTTAATGTTGTTGGACCTGCTTTATCTATGGACCTTGAGCCACTCTTTTATCATTGCAAAATAGTATATCATCTTCAGTTTAATCAACCAAAACTCATTCTCACTTGGCTTGTCATTCAGCAAAGTCGCATCTTTTTACTGTATCTGTGCCTACATGCTATAAAAATATTTATTTATCTAATTTTTCTCCTCGCAGATCAACAAAACTTCAAAACTTTTACTAATCTTTATGTTTTCTGAATTCATACAACATGCAACATTTTAAGACTTCAAGTAACTGTTTACATGCTCTTTAAACTCTTTGTTTTCTCTTGATAGTAGTTGCTTAAAACTTTAAAAATTGGGTTGAAACTTTTTTAATTTGCTTGTATAGCAAATATCATCAAGCCTGTATAGCAAATATCATCAAAACCTAAGATGGTATTGTTTCAAAACAATTTTGGTTTTGTTGAACATACATGGAATTATCAGTATAACATTAAATAAAAGTTTTAAATATGTTTATAATATACCATTGTTTTACCAAGTATATGAAAATAATCCAAACACAACTTGATTCCTCACTCAGCAACATTCAAAAAACTCATTAATTTTATATTTAATAAACAGATTTTATATATTTTGTTAAACTTAACATCTCTAAATAGAGATTTTTTTACAAATAAATATTGGGAAAAAATTATTGCAGAGCAGTTGTCAGTAACTATTCCAAGAAATAAGTCAAGATTTGTGGCTGTAAAATAGAGACACATGATACATTAGTGCGATAAGGTGCTACAAGTAATGTTTAATATTTTATAAACTTATAGTTGTTGTATTTAAACCTTTAATTGTAGTAACAATTTGTTCATAATAAGCAAAATGAAGCATACTGTAGAAAATCTTTTTATTTTAGTACACAACTTTTATTAGTAATTAAACCATGTTGATTTTCATTGATTAACTTGTTTTATGTTAAACATTTCATCATTTTATCTTTAAGTATCGTTGCTGACTTTAGCATATCGTACTAGTAGATTTGGTTTATAACCTTGGGTGTTTAATGAAAAATTTCATCTTTAAATAGTTTCTATATTCCTCCTCTTATGACAGTTGCTTTGAGTTTGAATGAATGGAAGAGTTTTCCAGAATTACATTATTTTAAAAACTGTAATTTAAAACATGTCTTACTTATAAGGAATGCCCAGAGGAGTTTTATGGACTCAATATTACTATTGAGTCAATAAAAATTTTGTCAGTAAAACGTCTATGACAAAAACTCCTAAACAAAACTATGCTTTGCAGATAAGATTTTAAAACTTAGATTTCAAAATGTGTGCATTGCTTTTCTAACTTTAGTAAACTATTTATAGAAATTACAAATAAATTGCAAATGATACTTTAGATGCAAATCCCAAATTAAAAATTCATAAACTCAAAATAATGATTTCAGACTTAATATTGTATAAAGTATAACTTATTAAACATTTCTGTTAGTGGGCAAATAACCAAGCCTTCCCGGAAATTAAAACAAATTTAAATTTAAAAAAAAATTTATAATTTACATAATATGTGTTTTGTTGTTTTTTTTTTAGAGTGGTTGTTAATTTCAGCACAAAATTATATAAGGCAAAGCAAAAAAAAAAAAGTAGTCGACATTAGATAGAATGATTTTTCTATATTTTATTTGGGTTTTTTTTTAAGGAGAAAAATGAAAATATAAATTGCTATAAATTTGTATTTGTAAAATATATTTTACAAATATATACAGTTAACAATTTTAACTTAAATATAACAAAAAATAACAACTATATATTGTTTATATATTATGAATATCTCTATAAAATGCATGAGTATACTTTTATGTATAACATTATTTTATTTGTTCAAAAGAATACCCAAGCTTTGCTTTTTCAAATAAAGTTGAAAAGTTTTTTATTAAAGAAAATAAATCTAAAAGAATAAAAAATAAGTACAAAATAAACTTGGAAAATGAAGATTTCTTTTTTAAAAAAAACTATATATCTTTAACTTAATTTATTACTTTATCTTATATTACACATTATCAAAGTTTCAAATTTAAAAATACCAAAACATGCAAAGAGCATGTTTGGCCAATTTATCAAAACAAAACATTATATAAGGCAAGGCGTGCAACTGCATGCGCCTCCTGTTAAAACCACATATAAAAAAATATAATACTTACTAGAAAAATAATTTGCCAAGTCATTCCTTCCAATTTTATTAAGTATCTCAACAAAATCATCATAGTTATTTATCCCTAGAAGCATTCGATGTTCTAAAGTTTGAATTAATTCAATAGGAGTTTTAATTCTTTCAAGATAACCATAGCCAATTTGTTGTGAGTAATAAAATTTAATTGCTTCAACATCTTTATCCAACATATTATCTGCAATCTTCAGCAAAATATCTTTATGTTTCTTATCCATTTTTTCAAAATACTTAT